CATCCGATTTTTAGGGATGGAGGCAGGAGTGTGTTGAGTCATGAGTATCCGGGACTGAAATTCGAAATCGACTGGACCACCAAAAGCGATTCCTCACTTTTCTTTTTAGACTGACTTTAAAATAAGCTCCACCATGGCCTACAGTCTCTCTAGTGTTTAATCAACACTCTCCTTGACGAATCCTTCTCAGAGCAGGAACGACGAAAGAAGAAGGACGACACCAATGCCCGGCCCATCTGAAAAGTTGGGACGCATATTGGTGGTAGACAATGCCCCCAGTGACCTGAAAAGGATGGAGGCAGGAAACACGCGTCGTTCCTCGAGCACTTTTTCTCTGAATCCGTTGCTAGGAGAGGTTGTTTTGGAGGAAGGATGGATGGAAACGACAAAGGAAAAAGCCGCCTCTGTGGTGGACGCGGACTCGCTTCACTTTCGAGAACGACTCACGACATCTCTGAACCTATTTGCTAATGCGAGTCCAAACCAGCCTGGTGGCTTACCAGGAGCATATGCTCATCCTGGCACGGCTCCCTTTTCTTCTTCTTTTGTGGATAACCCCGGATATAACACCAGCAGCGCCGCTCTTCGCGAGGGAGTACCGGTACTGTGGGAAAACTCCTTTACACAGGATGGGTTGGTCGTAGCGATGCCCGTCACAGAACCAACCGCGGAGGCACAACCAATGGATCCGCCGCGGAAAAAACGAGAGAAATCAAGCCACGGAAAGGAGTTTCTCGCTTGTCTCTGTGTACTGGCAATTGTGGCGGCTGGGCTTACCGGCATTCTCATGGCAAGCAAGTGGAATCCATCCAGTAGTGAGGAACGCGGAGCAGATTTGGACATGTACAACAACAACAACAATGAGTCAACGGCAGTACCAACCCAAGGGGGCGATGATTTGCTGTTGTTGTCGTTACTGCCTGAGCCAACCAAGAAACTGATTCTACGCGATGAGCTTGGAATCAGTCCTCAATCCAAGGCATTCCAATGGCTACTCAACGATCCCAACATTACAACCTATTCAGACGACCGTCTTCAGCAAAGGTTTGCTGTAGCAACACTATACTATTCAACGGGGGGAGAGGAATGGACGGAACAAGGAGGAGGAACCACTACCGTCACACTCGATAAGGGGCCGCCGGGAGGTCCTGGAGGAGCTCCTCCGCCACCGAAAGGCGGCCCGGGTCGTTTCTTGCAACAGAATGCCTCCTTGCCACCTTCTCAAAATAATACTAATATTACGCAGCCGCCACCACAAGGCCCGCCTCCGCCTGCGGGCCCGCCTCCGCCTGGTGGGCCGCCTCCACCTGGGGGCCCACCAAAGGCCTCGGTCGAAAAAGTCAACATTACGTCCGCCGAATGGCTTTCCTACGAGACTCCAGAGTGTGAGTGGTTCTCGTTGGCGGCTCTCTCGGACAAGGAACCTTGCAATGAGGATGGAAGCTTTCGCCACCTGTTTCTGAAAAGCAACAATCTTGCTGGATCTCTCCCGGAAGAGCTCATGATGATGACATCGTTGGAGTACTTGAAGCTGGGGAGGGACAACATTGGTTCCACACTCACCACGCAGATTGGACAAATGACAAAACTGACACAGCTTCGGGTGTTTAGTCATGCTCTCACTGGCGCCATCCCCAGCGAGGTGGGATTATTATCCAATCGGTTGGAGGCCATTTCCATTTTGGACAATCAAATGACCGGATCACTGCCAGAGCAGATTTGGCAACTGTCTCGTCTGGACACATTGATGATCTCTCGCAACTCATTCAGCGGATCCATTGCCTCGGGCATTGGCTATCGCATGCCCAACCTGGTAACTCTCATGGCGGATCGAAATCAACTCACTGGGGTTATCCCATCGTCTATTGGATTGTGCACACAGATGCAAGCGTTGGATGTGGATGGCAATCAGCTCAACGGTCCGATTGTTTCAGAGCTGGGTCGGTTGCAGTCGGTCCATCGTTTGTTCCTGAAGGACAACAATTTGGAAGGCAACGTGCCCTCTGAGCTTGGTCTGCTGACTGGGTTGAAAGAGCTTCGACTGGCTGGAAACCCAATGCTGAATGGAACTTTGCCTTTGGAACTGACTCAGTTAAACTCGTCCATGCACACATTGTTGTTGGAGGGCACAGCAATCTCTGGGACGATTCCTGAGGGTCTTTGTAGTCTCTACCGACTGTCGTTTGATTGCTCGTCGTCTCTGTGTGGATGTGAATGCCCGTGTACACATGAGTAAATGAATTGGGGGTACATGAGACACAAGGGATATTAATGGTGGCATTTAGAGCATTTTCCTGTGTAGCTTGGCCCACTGACAGATGTCACACACTAGCTAGCATCCTCTTGCGTATCAGCCATGGAAGCTGACAGGATCTTGTGATCACTGACTGCTTAATTACGGTAACAAAGACCTCAAGCCAATAGCAGGCAAAGCAGACAGCGACAGAAAGTTTCCAAACCAGCTAGTTAAGTTTGCAAGGACCACAATCACAGCCACAGAGGGAGGTGCCATGGCAGACTGTTATGCTGGTATTCGCTGGCAAGAATTCACACTGTGGACGACCATAGCAGTTCATTTCGTGCTGATACATTTTGTCACACAGTTCTTCCGGGATGCTGCCTGACAGGGACGTATTTTTGACTACCAAGCTGGTCAAATTCTCCAGCATGAGTAGCTCTGTAGGGAGTGTGCCAGAAAGGTGGGTATTTTGCAGCTCTATTTTCCTGAGACCAGACAGTTGACCCACTTCTGTAGGAACAGTGCCCGAGAACATGTTGTCATTAATGTATATTAACTGCAAATGGGAAAGTTGGGAAAAAAGACCAGGAGGCATTGCTCCTTCCGACTGATTGGAGCCAACATTCAAGATGGCCAGCTCTGAGAAAAGCAAACAAAGGTGAATTCTGATGGCAGAAGTCAACACGAGTACAGCACAACACAATATCATGTTTCTGAACTCACCAGCCAGTTCAAAGAGCTCATGTGGCAAAATTCCAGAGATTTAATTCCCATGCAAGTTCAGGGCTTCCTGTTGATATGTATGCAAGATCAGTGTGCTTGCATACCGTAACCTATTCAAAGTCAAATATGATTGCTTGGACCTTGCTTACCAACTTCTCTAATTTTTCAAGCTGGTTTGGAATAGTTCTGTGAAGATTCCAGTCCAACAAAACGAGGCTTATCAGTTCTGTCAGCTCGCCAAGCTCAGCTGTATCAAAAGGAGGTCTAGAACGTGAGTCCAAACCCTTCCACATGTCATGCCAGCATGAATTCTTACATGGAATTGACACTACTGTTGCAATGCTTCGGGTTGATAGTTCAAGCGAACGAAGCTGTATTGCATTGTGAATGACTTCTTGAAGGATGTATTCAGTTGCCAGCCCAGGGCACTCATGAATTGCTAGAGACTGCAGGCCAGGCAATCTGTAAAGCTCACCTGGTACTGAACCTAGAATGAATGACAGTATCAGGTTTCCAATCTGCTGGCCAAACCGAATCAAAAGCACACATACCTGTTAGATCAGTTCTCCCCACAGCAAATGCTGATAAGTTGCACATTCGTCCAATCTCAGAAGGAATATGCCCATGAATTGGTGTCATATAGAGTTGAAGGAGCTGGAGACTCTGCAGTTGACCAAACTCGGTTGGAAGGGAGCCATCAATGCTTGTCGCACTCAACATTATTCGAGTCATTTTTTTCAGCAGCCCAACCACAGTTGGGATGGTTCCCTTGAGTTCCAATTGCAGATTTACTTCGATTGACTGCAAGCTTTTCCCCAGCAATGAAATCTCCAGAGGAATTGTTCCTTCCATGCTATTGGCAGTCATAAATGACAGTGCCTTGATTTCTCCAATCTCGTTACAGCACAGGTTGGGAGAGAATGTGAGATTCAAAAATATTTGTTCCCAGCTGCATTCATTTGTCTCCCAATCTAGCCAGTCACAATGTTGCACCCAATAGCTCTGGATCTCTGGTTGATTGATAGTGGCTCTGCATTGGGTAACAGGCCTATCTGCTGATCCCCATCTATAGGATGTGCAATGATTTCATCATCTGCAATTTCTTCAACCCAATCGCCAAGGCCTTCCTCACTCGTATCAGTACTACTATTCGAATGATTCCCTCTGTCATTAGCAAAACATGGACCATCAACGGCATAAGCCCCAGGATTCCTTTGTCGTTGCCTAGAATATTAGGTTTGCCTTGTTAGAATGGCTTGTTGTGGCACCTGTGCAAATTTTGTGGTTCTGTTGTGGCTGTTGTCGCTCATTTGTAATGTTGTGTTGGTTTTTTTGGTGAGCTCTACTAGCTCCAAGTCTCCAGCTGTTTCAAAACCGACAGCAGCAGTTCTTTCGCTGACAAGAAAGCCACTTGTGGTGGTGAAGATTGGAAGAAGAGGGGCAGCAGCAGTGGCAAGACGAGGCAAAGGAGGAGAAGGACGGCTCAAGGAACGATCAGGATCATCTAGAGTTTCTTCAGATTCATCATTTCCTTGACAATTTTCTGAATTTCCTTGCTGTGATCTCAACTCCACAATCTTGAGAAGATCAACGTCATCCTTGCGATTGTTGTTATTGTTTTTGTTGGACATGGTGGTCAGTCAAGGGGTAAAAGCAATCGATCAGGTGACACATGCAGACCCGTATCTCAATTGCCCTTGTGAAAGCTACCCATTTATGTCTCCGTGGATCCCGCAAAGCCAAACGCTTTGCCCCCCGTAATGGTCCTCAATTTCTTGCCCCTGATCCCTCAGAACCTAGTCCTGAATTTCGACTGTTCTTTGCTTAAGCCTGGCCCCGGCTGGCTTCCGTAGATAATTTCCCTACTCTAAACCCCTTCTTCACATCAGGTGACACATGCTTCATGGACAACTTCCCCACAACCCTGGAGCGCCTGAAAAAGGGACTCGCGAACACCTCTTCCGCGAATCCGCGACTCTCGCGCGCGGCCGCGGCGCGAATCCGCGAGCGCGGCCGCGAATAACCGCGAATAACCGCGAAAATCCGCGAGATTTAGGATGCCACTTTTGAAAGATATAAAGGAGCTGGTTCTTAAATCTCGCGGATTCTCGCGGTTATTCGCGGTTATTCGCGGATCGGCGGATCGTTTCGTGGATCGCGGATTCGTGGAAAACCGCTAAATCCGCGGATCGTGCCACGATTCGCGGATTATCAGCCGCTCCTGAAGACCTCTCTTGAAACCGCGATTCTCCCGGAAAATAAGTTGACAGAGCTGTATTTAATCGCGCCTCCCTTGGGTCGATCCCGCCAAGTGCCGTCGGACCCGCGTGTGAAGACTTGAAACTTGAAGGCCCGATACGGTATCTGGTACCATCTCATCATCTTGTTCGCCCACAATTTGCAAAACTGTTGTTCTGCAAGACAAGACAAGACAAGACAACACAACACAACAAGACAAGCAGCAATGTACGCGAGGTTTAGTTATGACATTGAACTTCAGGGCCCTGGGAGCTCCAAGAAGAATGTAAAACGAACAGGACAATCCTGGACGCTTGTTGCCGTTCTTGCTCTTTGTGTGCTAGCTGGGGCCATTCCAGCTGCCTTCGTCATTTCTACTCTGGATCATCATGGGACTCCTGATCTTGAAGACTCCGCGCCAATCTCGTTCGATGTACCGACAGGTATCTCGATGGAAACCATCAAGGGGACCTTTGCGCTGGACTCGCGCAATCTCGAAGAGAAAGATCCAACTGCGGACCGCAATGGGAGACCTGCTGGTTACTGTGCGTGGCCATGCAAGTAAGTAGGAATGGCGCATTCCGAGTCATTTCACGGATTGCGAACGTTGACAACGTACCACTTCGTAGTGCTATGTGTTGTACACCGGAACGATGATGAGCTGACGCACTTCTGGGACACAAAGGTTCACCCTCTGGTGCCCTTTCGTTGGTGGGTTGGAGATCTTCTGAGGCGCTATGCAAATCGTTTTCTTGAACTGCATGTACCGTAGCGGGGAGCAAAGTAGGATGAAAAGCAGCTTTCAAGAATGGTTCAAAGTACAGAGTGGAGAGCGCGAGAAACGCCAACAATGGCAAGAAACTGAGTATGTTTAGAATGCCATGCTCGACCAAGAACTTAACACCACTTACATGTATTACAGAAGATGCAGTTGTAGACTGAAACTAGCTAGCCTAGATTGAGTCACTCGGTGCGGCAAAGAACGCTGCCATACCGTACCTTTTGGGCAATGATTACATCGGAAACTTCCAAGTGGGGATGACTGCCTGCGAGTGTATCTCCAAGTTTTCAGCAGGACCAGCCAGAATACAGCCAAGGCGTGAAGGTCATCTGCATGCTTTCAGTACCCCAATTTTCCCATCGCTGCGCTCGTTTCGTTGACGCTTTTACAGAGATCTATGGTTTATGGATGACCTGGTCCCCTGACAGACTTGCGGGTTTCCAGTGCTGTTTGTATAGTTTCATTTCGCCCTTGTACTCGCAGTGCCTGGCCAGGTGTAAAAAGATCTCCTGTTAGAGCGCAGGGTGCTGCATACCGGTACCGGTATGACAATCCTTGGTCCTCTTGCAGATTTGACTCTTCTTTTCGCCGTTCCATTGGCTGTTGCCCTTGTATAGTTTCAACTTTCGTGCAGGGTATCAATGCTGCGAGTATCACCAACGACATCCCCTTCCATGGTTAGTTTTGGCTCGGCGGCACGAGTATGATCAAATTCCAGTCGTTCTGGATCGTGCCGCAACAGTCACCATCCACGATTTAGGGTAGGATTTTCGAATCGGATTTAGGGCAGAGTTTCAAACTCTGCCCTATTAGGGCAGAGTTTCAAAACTAATAGTGTTTCTACGTAGGCCGTTTCGGATTTAGGGTAGAGTTTGAAACTCTACCCTAACAGAGTTTGAAAATCTGCATTAATTATTCTAGGGTAGAGTTTTCAAACTCTACCCAAGATTTAAAGCAAACTCTGCCCTATAGGGTAGAGTTTTCAAACTCTACCCAAGATTTAGGGCAGAGTTTCAAACTCTACCCTATTCAAAAATCTACCCTAAATCCGGGATTCCCCTTTGAGGCACGCTCCTGTGAGCTTGGTAAAGCTCGAAGATTCGATTGATTCAGTTGACGGTTCCACCAACCACCAACCACCAACTCTCCTGTGTAGTCTAACCCCCCCTAGCTTCAACCCCCCCCAATCACTCCGGCTGGCAACCGTTACAGCAGTGGCTGGGGCTCAATACAAGCCAACAACCAGCAAGCGCGATACCGGTACGGCCAGATCAGTCTTGCATACGGGACCGGGTACCGTACCACACGGTCGTCGGTACGATACCGGTAGATCAAGTCGAAACTCACAAAAACAGAAAGAACAAACCAACACCAAAAAAAAAAGAAGAAAACACTGAAGACCATGACTAAATCAAAACTTTTGGAAGCCACTAACTATGCCACTTACATCCTGGGTCGACATTTGCTGGATCAAGGAGCTGTGAAAATCGACTGGCCCGGTGTTCGACTGGATTTTGATGGCCCCTTCACCCAAACCTCCTCCATTCAGGTCCGTATGACAGGAAATGGTGCAACTTTCGGCTATCGCTTGACTCCCATTGGAGAGGATCAACATAGTTTGAGCAAAGATGAAGATAATGAATTTGTGATTGTATCGTCCCGACGAAACAGGATGAAGGACTATCCCCTGCTATCTCTGGCAAATGCCACCGCAAAACTGGACCCCAACGCGTCCTACAAATTGTCCATTTGGAAAATGGGCGATCCCTGCAATGGCGGTTCTACCATTGCTGGTTTGGTAGTGGATAATGCATGCCCAGCAATACCAGCTGAAAAACCATGCATGTCACTTCCACTTCCAGATAGAAAGCTGATTGAATTCGTCGGCGACTCCAATACGGTTGGATACGGAATCAAAGGCAAGAGATCCGGATTCTTCTATCATGTTCTGTGCGAGATACCGTTGATCGCGTGCTTCAATGCACCCAAGAGACTTGTAAAGACCACAGACGCCACAAGATCCTGGGCTCCTCTTATAGCACATGCCCTTGAAGCGGACCACCATGTTATTGCATGGAGTGGGATTGGAGCTCAACATTCGGCTTGGAGCAACACGACAATGAATCATGCTTATGGAAGGCTGTTGGCGTCCGATCCCAAGACATATGTAAAGGAGCTTCCAGGGCCTCCTCCAGATGCTGTGATCGTCATGATTGGACAAAATGACACCGTCAACACAATCACCAATCCAGCCAGACTCCAAGAATCGTTCTCCACGCTTTTGAAGCAGATTCGGCAGTATAGACCTGCACCCATACCAATCCTCCTTGTAGTTCCCACACCAGACTCCAGCATGGCATGTGTGAGGACCAACAAGGAAAACAAGAAGAAGGCCACAATGTTGAACCAAGCTTGGAAGTCTGTCATTATGTCAAGCGATCAGGATTGGTCTCATGTGCACTTGATTGAAAATAACCATGTACCCAGCCTTCATTCGCAAGATGACTACGGGATGTTCTTGCATTGGAATGAGAGCGGAAATGAGAAGTGGGCTCGTGGATTGCTTCCAAAGGTGAAAGGGATATTGAAATGGGATCAGTGAGCTTCTCTGACAATAGACGAACGTAGATTTGCAGGGTTCCGGATATGTCATATTCGCCCACATCGCTACGCTTCTCGCTCAAAACAAAAGAGATGACACTAACTGGATGGCGTTGACAGCATGATGAAGTACTGGCTATTTAGCCAGCTGATTGTTGTCGTTTGCAAGTTACCAAACCCTAACGAGCTGTATATTGAATAAATAATAGCTAGAATACAAAGGCAAAATAGCCCAGCACCAGTAATGGAGGCGCGGACATGACGGCAGCATATCCCGTCTTCCAGGGAGCTTTTACGGCTCCATCTCTGACTCCAGCTGCGACGGCACGAAAAGCCCCCAACGTGGCCAAGATCATGATTTTGAAGCAGTTTTTGAGCGTCTTTTCATCTCCCGTAAAGGCCACCAGGGCGACGGTCGCAATCAGGGCGAGTTGGCAATTGGCCAACATGCGAGTTTGAGCCATTGCATGTGGTCCCCATTCGCCAACCAAATAGCCATCCAAATTTTGCTTTGCTCGAAAGGTAAACATGAGGGCATCCACGAGAGCAATGCCGTTCCAAAAGAGCAACCATGCCGCCAGTGATCGCTCTCTGGGACTAAACGTTGGTTTGAACCAACGAAAGGGACCCGTGGGGCCGCTGGTCGATTCCGGGGTCTTGGCGCCACCACGCGAAACATCGAGCGTCGACGAGAAAGGGGTGAGTCCAGTCTTGAAAACTCCATTGATACGCCGCTGTTGGATGAGAGATGGCTTCCTTTCAGGAAGCGCGACGCTTCCTTGCAAAGAGAGAAGCAGCGATACTATGTAAAAAGAGGTAAAGCCCTTCATGTTGGATCAGCAGACTGTAGACGAGAAACTCTTCCGAGACGATTACGGTCTCTCTGGGATTTCAATACATGTAGATTGGCTGGCCTCATCCCTTTTTCTCTAGCTAGTAGTAAGTGTCAGTCTAAATAAATGGCTCAGGCTTTTGGCGGAAAGGTTCCTTGGTATCACCAATTTTGGTGACACAGAAGCACAAAGATTCATGTTGATTGGAGTCTATTGTTTAATACAAATAGTCTGTCCCTCTACACAAACATTTAATCATGTTTGAATGCCAAACAGCCAAAAGGGTGTTGGATTCTCTCCAATCCTGAAACGTGGATAGGGCGAACCCCCTCAACAGGGAAAAGTCAGACCCGAAAAGATCGCTTTTTCACCCAACAGCAATCAGTGTTCGAAAGTGTGCTAAAGAACCAAAACACAGGCATACAGGGTGCTGATTTGTATTCCGCCAAGACCTCTACAGGCTGTCGTCCACTCAATTCACATAGTAACCTGATTCAAAACCAAGACTGCCGAGATACTGGCAAGCTCATAAAAGCTATTATAGGACTTTCCAACACAACCAAAACTCACAAAAGTTACCCTCGATCCGTTCCTTGCGACATGCGTACTACCACCAGAGGAATCATCTTGGCATTGCTATGCCATGGGCTTTGCGAAGCCGACAATCTCAGGTCCTCCAGCCAGCATCGGCGGCGTCTTTCGGAGGAACCCTTCATTTCGTACGAACCTTACACCCTCACGACAGACCATGTAAGTTGGACAATGCAAACAAGGAGTTCCGTGCCGCTTTTTTGTGGGGTCTCACGAATTATTTTGTTTTTTTTGTTTGTTTGTGAAGGCTGCCATTGATCTTGATCAAAAGGCTATGGAAATTGAGCTTGCCAGAGGCACCGACGATGGTCTCGATGCAGCATTGAGTATCTACCAAGAAGGTGCTTTCTCCAAGTCTTATGCAGAGATCACGTTGACAGAGCCACTACAGGTCGATGTTCTTAAAGGAGTTACGGTTATTGGTAGAACCACTGATGGAAGGGATGTTCGAGGAAAGATGGCTGGTAGCTTCGACACTGGAGATAGCATCATCCAAGTCCAGTACAGTGCCGGTAGTGTCCAAGAATCGTGGACGGAGTGCCATGTGGGGGCTAATCCCAATCCTGAAACGCGAGGCTGTAAGTGGAGATGCTGCAGATTTTGGTTGCTGTTTGATCCCCTCACCCCAATAATTTCTTTGGTCGATGCATGCAGGCTTTGCTCCAACCGGTAGCTTGGAAATTGGTGAGCTTGGTCTACACACTTACAGTTACAATCCTTTGAGACATAACTACAATGCCCGAACAATCCAAGGATTCAGTACCCAGGCAAAAGACAAAATGTACGACTGTGAAATGTGCCCTTATCGAACATACGCTAAATTCTATGACTACTATGGTGAGCATGATTACGGGAACAAATATATCCTTGCCGCCTTCAATCGCGGTGCAACCAATTTTGCCAGAGGAAATGCAGTTTTTAGCAGCTATAGCACGCAAGCAACCACAGGTAAGTCGGCCTCTTTTCCTTACAGCACAACTCCTGTCGGACAGCAGATATAATCTCAAAAGGAGTGCTTCTTACACCCAATGCTAAAGAGGTCACCAAAAGGGGAACTGTCCTATTGAATGTCTGGATGTATGTTATCAGGGAACTGGAGGATGCCGTGGATGACTGTTCATCTCAATGTCCGATTGATGGGTGCAATGATGACCAAGTCAATGCCTGGGATACTGCTGTTGCCTTCTACACTGGTTCCATCCCGAAAGCAACTGGGCAAGGTGGGGTCCTGCTTTACAGTCTGGCCCAAAGCCTGTGCCGAAGCTTTGGCACTTGCCTGACCCAAGGATTGGATGTGGGCACAGCCCGAGTCAACCGCGAAATCTTTCAACAATTCCATCTCGGACAGGCTCGCATCCTGGAGGGCAACTGTAATGATGCCAGGTTGAGTGTCAGCAAAATTTCGGAATTGATGGCTGTGCCCTTGATTCAAGGCACCCTCCGATATGCCTACAAGATGGATATGCTCAGTGACAACCGCGAAAGAACTGAAGCAGAAGGGGCTACGTTTGCAGCAGCGGTCCTTCCCCTAGTCCATGCTTGCAACACTGATGATGCTGCCACCATCTACAACAATATGAGAGTGGGCAATGGTGGCACGGCTTCATTTTCGGTGGTGAAGACTGCCTTTGAGCGCAACTATGACTGCTTGGGTGTTACATGTGAAGATGTTGGCGGCATGGTGAACTTGGGAGGTGATGGGTACCTTCCAGAAGCGGGAAAATGTGTTGCCACCCAGGTAGCTAGTAGCCGAAACGGTCCCTAGTGACCGTTTCACCGAAACGGTCCCACCATCCGTCATCCCTCCTCTAATGGACAGTAGCTACCCGCCTGGCGGTTGCCCGGAATTCCCTTCTTTCAATCAAAGGAGAGGATTGTTTATTATAGTAGTGTTTTTTAGTGTTGTTGTGGCATATGATGTCTGGCTAGCTACCGGCAGGGATTGAATCATTCCTGTGGTGCAGGGGAGCTCTGGGGATCCTTGTGTCTGTCCCCACACCCGTGCAGCGCTGCAGATGGAGCCACTAAACAACCCAATCCATTGGCAACACCCGCCGCTTCGGTATACACGCTAGCTACTAGTCTTGATTTCGATTGTTGCCTGATCTGCGGTTGAGTTGCACTGCCTTTTCATTTGCGAGCTCGGCTCTGGGTTGGCTCTTGCGCGAATCTTTGCTTTAATTCCACTTCATTCCTTCATTCAGACGGCGGCAAGAATCCCTTGATGCGGACCTTTTCTTCTCGCACGTATGTCAAATCCAACAATCCCGCTGGCGGATCAATAAAGATGGCATTGTCGACCCGTGGTACAATTTGTGGTACAAAAGGAATCAAGACGAGTTCATCCCTCAACGACGTTGTCCCTCCTTTGCCTCTGGGTAGATTGATTTCCAACATGTCATGTCCGAGCCCCGGAATGGCACACATGTCTTCGGCCAAGACGACACCCACGACGGTTCCCACAAATAATTGTGGTGGCTCATGATTCTGATTGTCATTCTCACTAGTATTGTTGTTTGTTTCTTCTGTGGTTGTTGTTTCTAGAAATACCTCCAATCCCACCAAGTCGGATACAAAAAATTCCTCCTCCTCCACGGTTTCATCTTGATTGGCTTTGGATTGTTGTTGCTGTTGTGCAGTGTCGTTTTGTGGCAGCTCTGTGTTGGTTGTTTGGTTGTTGTTGGAATTGAAATTATTAGTACCGGTATTGGCATTGTTATTGGAATTCTTCAGGAGCACGTGTCGATCCTCTTTCCGAACAAACAAGGTTCCACCCCGCAATCGTTTGGCATCATCTCTATTTGTTGTATCTGCCAATTGCAGAATGTATTCATCATCCTTATTGGGTCCTCTCCCCTTGACTAGGACGACTTTTCGTGGTGCCCGTTTATTGTGGGGTTTGAAATACTTGATGCCCGGTTGTGTGAATCTGACAAAAATAAAAGTAAAAAGATGACATACCACGAGTGATGAGTGAGACTTTGCTGGCCACATATAATATAATATAGTAATCTGAGATGATACCGTGCGTACAAACGTACCGTTCTGGAAATCCGGAACTGGATTTGACCTTGATTTCTCCGTGTACGCCATGAGCTCCCACGACGGTTCCAATTTCGATGAATCCAAAAGACGCCGGATCGTTGGGATCGATATCCTTATTGTCGGGAAAGACAAACGTGCGGGGTGCCTCCAGTTCTGCTGGTATCTTCTTCTTTTGTTGTTTTTGTTTTTGTTGATTCAATTCTTGTAGTTTTTGTTCGGATTCTTCCAGTAACAGTTCCAAGGGATCTTTGGAATTTTCTTCTTGTTTTTTGTATTTGTTCTTTTTTTGACGACGGGGTTTGTCTTTGGGATTCGAGCCAAAGGGTGAAGAGTAGAGACGCGTACTGCTACCCACAGTGCTGGATTTTGCCGTTGGTACCCCAAAGTTCCATAGAAAGGACGGACTGATTACTGGAATCAGAGCATGTGAGACATGATGAGGCAGCCACACTGCCACCAGTGCCACAATAATAACAACAAGATAGTTCTTCGTGGTCATTGGGATGATATTTGTCGTCATCTTCTTGTCATGCTACTGTGGATGTCTTGTTGTTGGTTGTTTTGGCCACGGCAAAGTGCTTGTGGTGTCGTCGGGATGATGGATGGTGCCGAAGCGACGGATGACAGACAGCCGGATCTTTTGGATGCGATGCCTGACTGAATTTGCCGTTATTTCCATTGGAATGGCATTGGTCTCACAATTTCCATTTCTTTCCGTCCCACAACCAAAAGCTGTAGCTTCATCATTGCATGCAATTCTCTTCAATCTTCGCACTCTTTTACTTCTCTCTTCCAAACCCACCCACACGATGAAGCGGATTCTCCGCACTGCCTTGTTGATCGTTGCCATTGTGGCATTGATGGGGAACACCGTCCTCCAAGGCATAGATCTACCCAAAGATGAGAGAGTGCTGGAGAGGGTCCTGGACGACAGCCACCTTACTACCGGCACTACTACAAGGGTGGGAATGAAAACAACCAGCACTACTACTACTAGTAGTAGTAGTAACAAGAGAAGAAAACTCAAGTATGATCCCTACAATGAAGACAGCTATCAACCCAACCAAATTCCACCAGGGGCCAAGGAAAATGATCACTACAAACAACAGTCGTCATCCACACCGTATCCATCCCAAGCTCCATCCGAGATACCGTCCATGGCACCTTCACCCTACATTTATCAAAGACCACCACCATCATCCAACCCTACAGTAGTTGACAATGGATACCACCGACCCCCATCACCTGCACCCACCGTACACTATGGGTATCATCGTCCGCCAACTACTACAACCCCTGCTCCGGTCCCTGACCATTGTCCCGCCTATCCCGACTTGGTCTTTTTGATGATTCCCAAAAACATGATGCTCAAACTACAAGAAATCATGAAGCTGGCCAAGCTGGTGAGTCGAGAAGAATCCGGTCCCATAGGAGATCTGATTGAAGAACAACGATTGGTATACGACTTTTTCGATGGATGGACGGATCCCGATGATCAAGCCGTTGTGGCCAAAACCAAGGATCGACCCATTTGTTATGCCGTCTTTGAAGCCACGCAAGAGGGGAATCTAGGTGGTACGTATTGCCGTTAGTTACAATAGATGGCTTGGCTTGACTCGACTCGACAGCCGTACCTCTCACCATGTCATATCTTTTTTGCCGCGATCTTTCCATGACAACAGATCAGGTAAGGCAGCACCACTCGCTACCGGTAGTCAAGTTGATCTACTACTTATGCTTGCTTGACGAACACGCAAGGCGCACTCATCTCGTTCTTTCATTCATTCATTCGTTCTTTCTTGTTACAGCTACAAAATCTCAACCCATTGTCCAAGGAAGTGGAAGGGTCGGATTGCACCGTTCGGGCTGGATACTATGATGCCTACAAGGCAGAATACTACGACGACTTTCGGTGAGTGGTCGTTTCGTTTCGTTGCATTTCAGCTCAGCTCAGCTCAGCAAATGTGCCTCCATGAGAACCACAATGTCTAACTAACACACGGTACACACCCGACCGACTGAACAACAGACAAAGTGTTGAAGACTGCATCCGTACATGCTACGATGAATTCCAACGACCGTGCCCTCTGGTCGTCGGGGGTGACAGTCAGGTGCGTATCACGCAGGCTCCGTATACCGTGTGCACTCGAGCGAATTTGTATTGAGCTGACAACCGCAACACGCGTTTTGCTTGCTTGCTCAGGGTGGAGCTGCCGCTGTTGTGGCATCGATTGACTTGGCGCACCACAATCCGCAAGTCATCACCACCGGTGCTCCTCGCACCATTGTCAATACGTCTCCCTGCAAGACCATTGATGAAACACGACACTCGCGATTCCTCAACACGGGACGGCATGAATATGATTACGTGCCATTCCAACCAGATATTCTCAATACGCGACATGTGGGGCACACATTCTTCTTGGACGACGGTGTCAACTGGCCCGTGGCGACACCCGGATTCAACAATAATGAGCCGAGATTGTTCCTTTCGCGAGACTTACACGAACGACCCGTCTACGAGGAACGCATCCAAGCCATGATAGATCGTGATTGTTTTCCGATTCCTGTAGGAAAGTGGCCCGGAGGACATTACTGTACCCAGGACGACGAATGCGAGAGTGGTGATTGTTCCAATGGAGCATGTACGAACGTTTGATACACTTGCTTGCATCGTCAGAGCTCGTCGGTCGAATGGGTGGGTCACAGCAGTGAAGCAAGTAACACAATAATGATGGAAAAAAGTTGAAAGCGCAAAGCAGCGCCTTCCAATAAGCACACTTACTTCTGCAAAAGCTTGTCTTCCTCTTTGTTTTGTTGGTATGCCCCTCTTGAGCTTGAGTGACCATCGATCCTTGCATCTATGCGCAATCCACATGCTATCAAAACAGAGCCAATGTCACCCAGTTTACTGCGTGTAAAAGCAAACATCAGATCCTACTGCATGTAGGTACTCATGATGAGTAGCTAGCTAGTTTACGAGAGGAACTTCACTTTGCCCTCCCACCGTTCAAAGGCACCTTTGGCTCCTCGTAGCGTACCCATGCAACAAGAAGGGTATTTCTTCAGCGAGAAAATTGGCACTGGTATAGTCGCCAGTTGCTGCTCCCACCGACACAAGGGCGGCCATCACTGGTGCTACTACAGGTACAACTATTCTGGATATTCTGGATGACGATGCATCTGATGTCATTACAAGTAAGACTTCCTTTGTAGGCTAGAATGATAATGATCTCAAAACACAATCTGATTTGGAACCGGCTCAAACAGAAGACAAGAAATCGCCCAAGCCCAACACAGGAACCCCAGATGGCAAAAAGGAGGTGGATGTTCTGCATGTAAAGCACAGGGATGGTGCCAAGAAGGAAAGTCTAAGACGGAAGACCAAAAACTCACCTCAGACCCAACACCAACCCCGGTTTCGGCAGCACCAGGAATGCCAGAAGGACTGATGGCCCAGAATCTACCACTCCTGAGACGATTGCCAGCCACAACACCACCATCAATGCCTGGGGCCTTTGCTGTGGAAGGAATTCAAGGACCCTCTACTGTCACAGAACCCCATCACACACAAAATGTTGGTCCTACTGGAGATTTCGAGCTAATATCAGAGTCTGCTGGAAGTGATGTTGTTGCACAGCCTGTCGTCGACAATCACCACCAAACAGCACGACCCATGATGACACCACAAGAGACTCAAGTGGTCATCTGCCAATGACGACATCAACACCACTGGCACCACCGTGGTTCCAACAGCAACTCCAACCACAAATGCCCCAACAACTTTCTTGGATTTGCTTGACTTATACACTGAAAGCTACGGAGAATGCTGATTCCCCTCGATCCAGATGTTATGAATGGATACTCGACAAATGTGCATTTCCCCGACAAAACAAACAGCAGTCTCCAACCTCTATCAACCTGGCGACTGCATCAAAGGTTTGCGCTTGCTACATTCTACTACTCAACGCATGGAGGTGTATGGGTTGAGAAGAATGGGTGGTTGGATTGGGAAGTAAGTGAGTGCCACTGGGAACAGACCTTCCTTTTCCAAGCTTTTTCAACAAATCTCACTTGCAATGATAGGGGGGAAATCAAAGCTCTGTCTCTTTGGGCACCAACAACTTCAAGGGCCAAATCCCACGTGAGAATTCTTGCTAAGCCAGAGCTTGCAATCAGCTGCATTCAATACAAATCTTGAGCTTATTGGGGAAATACCATCAAAGATTGGACTGTTGACTGAGCTCGGAAGCTTGGTCTTCAATATTATGGGGTTTCTGGCAACCTACCAACAGAACTGAGTCTACTGTTGAAGCTCAAAGAGCTGATAGTCCAGGTTCCCCAGCTGCCGGGCACTATACCTACAGAGCTGGGGGAATGTGACCAACTATCTACTCTGATAGTGGTTGTCCCAGGTCTACCAGGTATGTTTCCAACAGTTTGATTAGGCCATGGACATGACCTTATGTTGCAAATGTCTAAGAATTTTGTTGCACTCCTCAGGTATCTTCCCCAGTGGAGTCTACCAAATGGCAAACCTCCAAGAGCTATGGTTGTTGGGAAGCTCTGGTCTCAACCTTGAGTTTGTGATTCCTGGGGTTATACATTGAAAACACACACAACTTGAAAGTTCTTGCCCTTCGCCACCAGAACTCTCAAACCTTTCTGGTGCGAACCCATTTGCTGTGTCTGCGCTACATCAAATAGATCCTCACATTGTGGGCCCATTCTCCTACACCAGATCAGATTTTCTTTAGCTTGGCCTCAAACTGAGGGCAATCTCCCTCCAAACTTATTTGCCAATTACTCAAAGACTGACAGATTTCTTGTCCATGACAGTGAATTCTCATGGCCTGTTCCTACCGTACAGAGGTGGGCCTCATGTCCAGCCTGGCAAGACTAGAGCTGCAAGACACAAACTTATCTGGAACACTACCAACAGAGCTTCTAGCATTAGGAAAGCTATCCAGCTTGGTCGTTACCAACACATCCTTGTCTCGCAGCATCCCAGCGCAGCTTTGCGACATCATGTACCTTCAGGAAAGAATATGTGTTGCACAAGATCAGTGTCATGGTGTGACTGCCGACACATCAGTGTGCACAGTAACTTACCTGTGTGGATGTAATTGTGATCCTGCCAATAGCTAACCCATATGATAGAATAGCATGATAATCCTCTAAAGCAGTCCCTAATTTAGCCGATACTTAGACGATGTATCACGCACTGGAATGCCATTGGTATGACCCGTTCCAATGCATGTGAAAGGAACCTCTGGCTTGTTTGCAGTTTGCAATCCAACGATCGGGTTCGAAGAGGGAGGGAAGACGGCATTTGCGTGGAAACCTAGTCTGCAGGGTAACCTAGGAATCTTCCCAAGTGCAGCGATGCTCGCATCATGGTAATCGCAAGAACACCAAAGAAAGCGGGCAAGCATTGATAATTCACGTTTTTGACGTTATACTTCGTGTTGATGAGGCCAGCCTTTTAATGCTCAAGAAGCCCCGAGGTCTGAATTACAAATTCCTGCCATGTTAGGGACAATCAGCGTGCCGGCACAGTAGGTACCCATTAAGATTGGGCCACATAATTCTTGCAGTTTGTAACATGTCGTGATCTGTGAGCTTCTCCAATGTTCTGGGAGTAAACGAAAAGCTACCGCGCAAGCTCAATCGATATATTCCAGTTCCCATCGCAGTCTTGATTGGCCCATCGCGGTTTGATTGGCTCTTTTGGCTGTCTTGGATTGCGTGTTGCTTCTTCTGGATTTGTTCGGGAAGCTGTGTGCTCCCGAGCCAAGGCAGTACTGGCACCCATACCGGTAGCCAACCATCTTCGTGGAACCGGCCAGTCCTCGTCGTTTGTCGCTCAAGAACAGCGACCTCGTTCGGCCCTTGCGTTTTCGTGACAGTTGCGCTAGTGATCTTCTCGTTGGTATCCGAGCCAGTCGTCGTAGATTCGACGCCACCTCGTTCCAAGTTTCATCGGCGACTGCTTGCTGCATTGCGATGGGCGATGCTTGTTCCGGGTACGACTGGGCAATGCAATGCCATCGTTTGGAAGCGGTATCTCAGGCTGCCAATCTTCTCAGGCGGGGGAGTCCGAACCAATCGTCCATTGTGCGATGCCTCTTTGTCAGCGACTGCCTTCACCTCTCCATGGTGTAGTTTTTCATCGTGGCGTTTTAAGTTGTGCTTGGGTATATCGTCGATTTTTCTTTTCGTGAGTATCCGAGCAGTCGTCGATTCCGCGATGCTGCTGATCGGTGACTGCACCATGGGCAATGTTCCGAGGCGCATTATCAATTCATCAGCGCTGGCGACTATTTTGGCCAAGAAAATGCTGTTGGTTGGTACGTTGGTACATTTACCTTGACAGTTCCATAAATGTTTCGGACGTGGATTTGATGCTGCTCTCCATAATGGTCACCTACAGCTGTTTTTATTCGCTGTATTTTTTGAAAGCGACAAAATGTGAGCGCTATTTGCCATTCACTGGATCTTCGCAATCCTTCATGCACTGAATGAAGGAGTTATTGGAACAGTCTGGAACAACTCAGACCAAATGGTTTGGTACCAGTACCTGGTACATACTACGTGGTAGTAACTGGTACTCTGTACCGGTACAGTCGTACCGGTACCGGTACTGCACATGTAGACTAAATTGTAGAAATTTAATGGTCTACGTCAAGCGGGAGATGTCAGCCAAGTGCAAAAAAGATCTTCGGCATCAATGACCCTGCTTCATGCCAATCCAAGTTTGATGACTGACGCAGCCACTGAAGACCACCCTGAAAGGCATCAAAAGCATTGACAGATTCGATTCTCACTTTTTTTGCTCGAAGATAAGTTTGTTTGCTTGCTTCATTATTTTCCCTCTTCTATTCTCGGTCTCTTTTATTTCGTTTCGCCTACTAATCAAGGTAAGTGAGTCACAGTCCTTGGCATTACTGTATCTGTGTTGCCCTGTTTGCCTTCATTGGATGATACAGTATCGATAACACCATGCCCTCATTTTCCAAATGTCTTTGACTTTACCGAAGCCCAAGATCCAAGATACCATCATGCGTCTTTCCACTGTCACCTTCTTGTTGTTGGGTGCGTCTCTGGTTCTGCCCTCGGCAGTGCAGGGAAGCCTTACTTGTGACGGTACCTCCTCCCTCACCAGCGCTGGAGCCTTGAGCTACTGGAGTCTGTACGATGATGCCGACACGCATCTCCCAGATCTCCCCATCGACCGCAAGTGCCGCTTGGCCCCATTGCCCAGTGCTACTTCCACCGCCACTCGCGTCTTCCGTTGGTACAACTTCCGAGCTCCTGGCAACAGCTCTGTCACCTTTGACATGGTGGCACAAGACAAATCCGCCGATCACGCCGCCCTTGCGATCTATGTGGGAGAGAGCTGCGATTCTCTCGCCTGTGAACAAACCGCCACGGAGGGTACATCTGGTACTACCACTTGGACGGCCGTGGGAGGCACCGTCTACCGTATCTTGGCCACCCGCATCAAGGAGGACGCCGATGCCTTCACCGGCAGCATCCATCGCTTTGAGATCCAGGGTGCCACTCCCATGACGGTGTGCGAGTTGGATTTGGCCAATCAGCCCAGCTCTAATCACAAGCGAGAATGCTCCTGTAAAACCAATTTCGATTCCTACAAGAATGCATCCATGGAATGTGCCGATAAATGTGCCAATTGTCACGAAGAAGATGATGGTACTTCCTTCTGTTACTATCCAAGTGTTGAGCAGTACTACTCGGATGATGCCACCATTGGAGCTACTGGAGGCAAGCTTTGCTTCACGCTCGCCGATGGATTCGATGCCGATGTGGTTGCCACCACCGTTTGCCGTGACGTCCAAGAGTTGGAGGAATCCGGAAACAGCGATTGTACCTTTTCTGTGGAAACTGGTACGGGTGCAGAAAGTACATGTGCCTTTTGCTCGTACAATCCTTCTGCTTCGTGTGGCTCGGAAGCTGATGTCGCTGGTGCATTTCCCTTTGCCGATTGTGGAGATGGCAACATCTTCAGTCCTTGCGGTAATGTTGGATTGACGGGAGTCTATGCCGACTATGAAAGAATTATCATGACGGCCGTGGATGGAGGCGGTGTCGCGGATGTAGGTGAATGTCTGGGCGAAGGCATTGATGCTGCCGATGCTCTCACCGCCATTGATATGGAAATGGACGTCTTCACTGACAATATTACTCTTCAAGGTGGTGAAAGGCAGCTGTATCGTCTTCCCGTCAACAACACCATCCATAGGAATGTCCTTTGTAACTTCTTTGGAGAGACTGGAGACCCTGACTTTCGAATCCGTTCCAACACTCCCGACGGTTCCACCAAGTGCGCCCGAACCCAAGGAGGAAGTACTCCAGAAGCGCGCCAGGGTGACTGCTCCGTGACGATCTATGACGGTGAGACGGTTTTGTACCTCGAGGTGAATGCCTTCGGTACCAGAACGGTCGAAAATGTTTGGGTCCACTGCACTCCGTATGACCAAAACCTCTACATGGGTGACACCACAACTTTTGACATCGCAGCCGACCAGACCAAGTGGCTCCGCTTGGATGTGGAAGGCAGAAATCAAACAATTGGATGCACCCTGGAGGGCGGCGACGGTGATCCTGATATGGCGTTGCATTTG